ACATACTTTTCTCCACAGCCATTTAACAAGCAGGCTCAAGTTTTCCTGTTTTTAACTATTTTTAATCTCAATTCAAAAGAAAATTTAAACTATTTGGAATTTCCATCTCCTATTGATAGTTCTTTTTGTTTTTTAATGAAAATGGGTGAGACAGGATTTGGGGCTCTTTTGGGTGATAAGATTATTATTCTGTCAGGGTCTCAAATTTTGACCTTAAAGTTAATTGTCAACATTCTCTAAATTACACTAAAGAATAGTTATAAAATTAGTCATCTGGACAGAAATTGTTAAACTTGTTTGCTTCAACCATATCCTTGGTGCTAAGTCACTATCTAGAGAAGATGGCCCTTAGGCCCAAATAGTTACTGTTGAATCAATCAGGCAAATTTTGGACTATTATCTGAATTATAAAAGTCATATTAGTTACTTAGTGAACATTTTTCATTATGTTTTAAATAAATAAAATGAAATGATATATAAATTATATATCATCTATAGCATAAAATGAACTGTAAAGAAATAATAAAATTTTATTATTTATTTAAAAGATGTGAAACATCTTTCTCCACAAAGCTTGGTCTACTTTAACTGTTTCCCGAAGATAATTTCCTGGAAGGGAAATTGCTAGATCAGAAGTTTCTTCATAAATACTGGAAGATCATCTTTTAAAAAGATAAGGAAATTTTTAAAAAGTCCACAGATGTACCAATGTTCTCATCAAAAAGTCATAATTGGGTAATAACTTTCACTTTTCGTCATCTAGGTGTGAATAGTAGGACTGAGTTAGAATTAGTAGGTTAACTGTTTATATAATAGTGTTAGTATCCTTTTCTGTTGTTGAACCCTTAGGCTTCTAGGCTCTACCTATTATGAAATACACAAATGGGTACCTGGATTGTATCTCACAAGGTATGCAATGGTACTATACCATGAAGAAGCGATATGGAAAGACTGATTTCACTCAGTACCTATTACTTGAACACCAACCACTTATGAGAAGCTATGGCAAAGGCCAAGGAATCAATGGAACACAGCTCCTTGTCCCTAATGAGCCTAGGAAGTGGGGACATTGTGTGAATAAAGAACAAGGCGAGAACTTATATGATGCTTATGCTAAGGGAACCATGAGTAAATTAGGGTGGAAGACTATTCCTGTGGAGGGGCAGTCTGTGGAGAAGGGTTCAAGCAAGAAATATTTATCTACCGTTGGAGTGTGAGGAGAGGGAAAATGTAGTAGGGAATATATTTAGTAGGTCCAGGACTGAACTGAACACAGTGTGGAGGTACAAAATCATGTGGTATAATAGTGAGGGTTGATTGCTGGATGGAGGTGGAAGGGCATGAGTGACCAAAGTGGTCACTCCCTTTCAGAAGGGGAAGGGCCTCAAAAGGAAGATATTTTTAAGCCTGGCAGTGGTGGCTCACACCTATAATCCTAGCTGCTTAGGAGACTGAGATCTGAGTATTGAAGTTCAAAGCCAGCCTAGGAAAAAATTTTTTTAGATTCTTAGACTCTTATTTCCAAGTTAACTATAAAAAAGATGGAGTGGAGAAGTGGCTTAAGTGGTCGAATGCCAGCCTTGAACAAACAGGCAAGAGTTCAAAGCCCTGAGTTCAAGCCCCAGTACCACTGTGTGTGTATGCATGCACACACACAATATACATACACAGACACACACATAAAAGTATCTTTGAAGACATTAGAAAGGGTTAAGAGAAACCTTTGAATGATGGGAGGGATTTATTAAGAATGAGGAAGGAAGGAAGGAAGGAAGGAAGGAAGGAAGGAAGGAAGGAAGGAAGGAAGGAAGGAAGGAAGGAAGGAAGGAAGGGAGGAAGGGAGGAAGGGAGGAAGGAAGGGAGGGAAGGAGGAAGGAGACAGGGAGGAAGATACCAGAAATAAAGATGTCCAAGTTCTATTGGTGGCTTTAAATGTTTTTAAGCATTCTCATGTATATGACATCACTTAACACTCATAAGCACCTGGTGTGTTGAGGCATATATTTTTCTCCCCAAGGCATGCAGTTGAATGTGTGAATATGTGTGTATGTGTGTGTGGGGGTGTATTTTCCTCACTCCTACACTTCATAGTTTCACAGGCTGCCTCTATTTGCCCTACATAGCCTATGGGTGTCATAGTTCTGTGAGTGTTGGCAGTAGACTGAGGAGATCTGACTTCATGCTTTCTATTTTTCACTCTTAATATTTTATATGCTCTCACTTTATTTGAATATTTTTAAAAGATTATATATTAAGTGTTTTAGCATATAATTGTATCACATAATATATTGTACATATTATATATCAGGCATATTATATAGTATATATATAATAGAAGAAAATATTTGGTATCTTAATTTGTCCTATCACACATTTTATGTTAGAAAGTTAGAAAAATCATGTATGTTCAAACATACTAAACCAAAGCAGTATTTCACACCAATTTTAACCCAATTTCTAACACTTTAACCTTATTGAGGAAATGACTAGTCTTCACAAGGCTGAGAATTGTGGTGAGAAAATAAAGTAATAACTCTATATGAAGAAAAAAAGACGTGTAGGCACTCTGTAGTTGACCTATAGTAGACCTATTAGGTGGGTGCCAGTGGCTCATGCCTATAATCCTAGCTACTTAGGAGGCTGAGATCTGAGGATCATGGTTCAAAGCTAGCTCAGGGAGGAAAGTCTGTGAGACTCTAATCTCCAATTAAAACTCAAAAAGCTAGAAGTACAGCTGTGGCTCAAGTGGTAGAGGGCTAGCCTGAACAACAACAACAATAAAACCCTTAGGGACAACATCTAGATCCTGAGTTCAAGCCCCAGGACTGGCTCGCACTCACACGCGCGCACACACACACACACACACACACACACACACACACACAAGCACAGACCATTATACAATCACTACTGCACACCATTACAGAATTTTGTTTTAATGTTTCAGAGGTGCATCATTTTCCTTAGCTTTTTTTAGTGTCATGTAGAAGTTTAGCCTAAGAAAATAGGTAACTTCTTAAATGGCTCATGTACTAAAAACAAATAATAACGTAAGACATGTTATAAATATCTTTCTGAAATCTGAAATGTCTCTGAGAAACAGAGATGATTAGAATTATGCACTCTCCTTGTAGTCGGGTAGATTTGTAATGGGGTAGATTTATTAAAAGGCTACTCATCTTTAAGTTTACAAAGTTAGGCAGTAGAAAGGTGTCGGGGCTGAAATCCTGAGTTTCTAACTTGAATTTGGTACTTGAAATAAACTTAAAATGTCTTCATAAGGTTTGACATAGGTTTTGTCAGAGGTTGGCAAATATTCTTTCATACGTTACAAAAAAACCAGAACTGAGTGTCCCACGTCAGCTTCGGTTAGCACGTATGAGGTCAACTTGCACAGAACATATTGGCTGGTGTCTATACGATTCTCCTCTCCTATGAACAACATACTTCAGTATTTCCTGAAGAAAATCCTGAACATGTCTCTAATAGAACTGCATAGGTTACAGGGAGTCCTCTGTCTGCTGATATTTTCTTCCCGTCATTTTTCAAAATGGCAGGAAATAGGTTAACATGCAGAAAAGGCAGTCAGACCAAACCTTCAACTTTCAGTTTCTGACTTCCCCTATAAGAAAAGACATAATGTGGCATTCATTATGAAGCGTGTGGAGAGGGCCCTGTTGGAACCATAAGGCTGTCAAGAACGGCACAACCTCCTTCCAGGTACTAAGGACGCTAATGAGAGCAGGATGTCAGAGAAACAGAAACAGGTCGATCTCTCCCCCTTGTCTTGCCCCCCCCAAACACACGTAGCTGTCCCCACCAGCCTTCTCTGCTCCTGCCCCATGGAAATGAAATCAATCAGCAAGGATTTCTGTAGAACGCACAAAACAGTTGTCTTCTAGACTCTGGCAGAAGATAAATGGTTCCAGACGTTGGACTCTGGCCATTTTCCCACACATGCTACAGCCGCTGACATCCATATTGGGCCATAACACTGAGTGGTTTCTGCTTCGGCCAGCATTCAGCCAGAACTTCCACTTCTGGTTTGGACTAGACAGGCTGTTCAGGCCAAAGCTAATCAAGTCCCTTTGTTGCCTGTGTAAATTGTGAGAGAACAGCCGTTTTCCGGGCAAAGGGATGTCTGTGATTTCTCCCCACTTCCCCTCCTCCCTGATACTTTTTGCTATTGGTCACAGAATCTCATGATTCTCACTGCCTTTTCTCTATTTGCAATTTGACAAATCTCAGCTTCACCACATATCCCACTTCTGATGTTATATATAAACCACATGGATGCAACAGACAACGTACACACAGTGTTGTTAAGTTCACCTTTTTTGGGGGGCGGGGGAGAAACAAATCTTTTGGGAAAAACATGAAACATAAACAGCAGCAGGAATGTTTCATCAATTAGCTCTGCAAGAGGGTTATGGCTTCACAGAAGAAACTACCGCAGATTCAGAAACATAGTCCTTTAAACATTTTTTAAAACGCTAATAATATTATTTGGAAGGCTCATAGGAAGTTTAGATAAGATTCATGGCTATTAAACAACCTGTTTTATGAAATGAAACAACCTAACACAATATTTTCTACCAGCTTTGTGAATTTCAAAGGTGGACCACTTTATTTAAACTAAACCGTCTTTGAAGAAAGAAAGTATTTTTGCCCATAGTTCAAGAAAACAAAAAGGAAGGAAAGAAGGAAGGATAGAAGGGGGAAACTAGGAAAGAAGTCTTTATCTGTACCTATAATCTGAAATAATCTGAAAGAAAAGCAAAATAAACCTAACTTGTAACTTTAAAAGCTTTAAAAGTGAATAAAGAAAATGACAGTCACTGCTTTAAATTTTAAATCACTTTTGCCTTACAGGAATGGTCTTCTAAATACCACCTCCACCACAAAGAAAACTATATATCTACAACAAAGCTCACGGTCCAGATAGGAAGGAGTGCTATCTCTCCCACCACTACATCTCCTTCCGTGGAACACAAACTTACTTTGTTTTAATATGTCCTTAGGCTGTGCTGTACCTTTGAAACAAAACCACTGTCTTCTTCACTTCATGTCTGCCTTCTTGAAAACGGCTCCTCAGAAACTGACAGATGGTGCATCTGTCAACTGAGTATTTCCTCTTCGTTATCTCTGCCAGCTAATATTTCCTCTGTGCTTAGCTGTTGTCTGAGAGACTGGTCCACATCACTCTAGCCTGATCAATGGTTGTGCTTGGTTTGAGGTTGGTTTTTTGGCCCCGCCTCCCCAGCTCTAAGAGGAAAAAAAGGAAAACTCACAGCTGGATTTCCTATAAATCCTCTCTTTTAAAACTGGCTCTGTAGCTCTGGGACATACCAGAGGAAAACTGCTGCCAGTCTATCACAGTCCAAGAGGGGTGCTCCTTGCGCTCAGTTCTCTGCCACTGGTGTCAGGCTTGTGTCTTAACCTCACAAGTCCCGATTAAGCCAGCTCAATACTACATGGGAAGGGAGGACCTGCTTAAAGCCAGGCTTACAGGGTGCCTTGCCTACTAAGTCTCAGATGCCCACGATGGAACTTACCCTCCCCCACCCCCCACAGCCCTGAATAATATGTAACACGTTCATTTTGTGCAAAGTAACTCCAAAAGGGGAAATGGAAAAAAAGGAGAAATGCTTTTTAAATAAAAAGGCATTACAATACTGGTGCACATGTGATTTTTCTATCCTGAATTCAAGTCATTATTCACATTCAGATGACTTCGCATTCTAAGCAACAAGATGTGCTGGTGTTTATAGTTATTGATGGCCTTGAATCACAAGAATGTGTGAGATGCATTTCAGGTTATAAAATCTTCTGGATGAAGGAAGACTGCACTGCCTGGCTAACTGCTACCAGGTGGAGTTGAACTTGTGCCTAGGTAACACTCTGAGAATCAGGATAAAGGGTAGCTTCTACACCTACCTATTTTACACCGTCAACAACAGTCAAATCTCATCCACTAGTAAGGGGCTATGCATGTAGTAAGAACAGCCTATGTGAATATTACTATGTCAAGCCCAGAGATTTGAATTCTGTACTAGATGTCCCAATGAGCCTTTGTGTCTTTGTTTTATTTCATAGCATCTTTGTAGATGAAAAGCACAAAGTAAGCCCCTGGGACCACACAGGTGATTGCAAGATGAATAAAGATGGCAAAGTACTTTGTTGTTACAATTTAAACATTCATGTTCTTCTTTAACAACAGAGAGAATATTGACTCAGTATAAATATTCAAGCTGGCAGAGGATGGGACCAAGCTACATATCACTGGCTGTGACAGGGATCTGACGATACTGGGAGAGTGGGAATAATGGTCAGGGCATAAAGCACATGCTAAGGAGACAGTACTTGGGCTTTGAATATTTGAACTATGAAGTGAGAGAATGTGTATGAAACACATAGGTCAGAGAGTAAACCTTGAGCAGTAAACCTTTTGTTACTTTAATTCTCCTTCGTCTGCCTCACTCAGTGGAGTCTTGGATCTTGCATCTGCCATTATCTGTGAGCCCTTGGAGATACTCAATTGGTGTCTGTGAATAAGTAAATGAGTGATCTAGGTGTTATAGCACAGAAGAGCCACTGGCTGGAAGAGAGGGAGTGTGGATCGCCACAAAAAGCTTAGCTAAGCCTGAAACTTGAAAGTCAGCTACTTCAAGGCTGAGACTACTTGGGAGGCCTTGCAAATTCTTCAAAGATGAGGAAGTTGGGATTTGCTAGGAGAGAGGTTTTCCGGGCCATGGGTAAGTAAGAGACTTTGTTCCAGGATTGACCAATGGGATCCTGCTTTCTTCACTCAGCCCTAGGCTCCTCCCCTTCCCCCACTTCCTCCCATGTGAAAGTCATCCAGCCCACAATGAGCTGAGTCAAGAACCTGAATCTCCTCAAAAAATGTATTTGAATTCTTCTGGTAAATTCCCTAAATGATGTTGCAAGCCCCTGCTTCCTGTGGGATCCCTGAATCATGAGTCTCCACCATATGGAATGAGGAGCTGGTCCTCAGGGCTAAGGAAAGGCCTGTGGTAGGGGTACACTGCTCTTACTCTATGGGGTTCTTCACTACCTAAGGTGTGTTTTTGACTGAAGACATTGAAAAACGGATCTACTTTCATAATTATAGACTTGACAACCTGGTAGGATTGGTACTACCTGGTCTCTGGAATGGCTGTGCCACGGATTAACTGTCCCTTCATATGGGGCGAGATTTCTAAGGGATGGGACCCACGTTTAAACATGAGATTCACTATTGCACACATATCTTATACACAAAGTCTGAGCAACTTTTTTGCTTGCTTTCTTCCTTCCTCCTTCTCTTCTCTTTTTCCTTCCTTCCTCCTTTCTCTCTCTTTTTCTTCCTTCCTCCCTTTTCTCTTTCCTCTATTTCTGTCATCTACTCTTTCTGACCTCTTTTCCTTTCTCTCCTTTCTATTTATCTCTCCTTCCTTCCTTCCTTCCTTCCTTCTTCCCTCCCTCCCTCTTTTCTTTCCTTCCTTTCCTTCCTTCCTTCTTTCCTTTCCTCACTTCCCCTTCCTTCCTTCCTCCCTCCCTCCCTCCCTCGCTCCCTTCCTCCTCCTCTCTCTCCTCTCTTCCCCGCTCTGTCTTTGCCAGTCCTGGGGTTTAAACTCTGGGCCTGGGTACTGTCTCTGAGCTTCTTTAGCTCAAGGCCAGTGCTCTATTACTTGAGCCACAGCACCCTTTCCAGTCTTTTTGAGTAGTTTATTGGAGATAACTCTCACAGACTTCCTACTAGGGCTGGCTTCAAACCATGATCCTCAAATCTCAGCCTCCTGAATAGCTAGGATCCAGGCATGAGCCACTGGTGCCGTCTCCAAGTATACTTTTATACAAAATTTTAAAAAGAATTTTGTGTGTGAAATATCTCCTGGTATGGATTTTTCCATTTGTGTAATGCTGTGTTAGAGACTTAGGAAGACTTTTGAGTTTGGCTGTTTCGAGCTGAGGCTGTTCCACCTGTATAATCTAACAGTGGATTTGGGCAACTCGAGGGGCACCAAGTGCAGAATGGGTTCATGAGGGAGATGTTGCATTTAGATGGAGGAGTGGGGAGCGGAAGAATCCAAGCAGTGCCTGCACAGGCGGAGACTGTCTTTCAAGGAAGGCAAAGAGACCAGAAGCAAGGCAACCTGCATGGACTGCAGCACATTATTTGCAGTCTTTCATTGTTAATAGAGACTCAGCCTGGCAGGACTGCTGCACAGATTAAATGGGTTAATACATGTAAAATGCTTGCAGTGGAGGTTGGCTGAAACCTCTAACACATGATTATTGGCATTAAAGAAAACATTGGTGGTTATAACTAGAGTTAGAGAGTGAAATTTGATTATCTACAGTGCAGGCAACAGAATTCTGTGCAAGGACAGTTAATTGCAGCCTTTGTCTGTAGTCTACTTAAAACAAACTTGAACGTCTATGGACCCATATCATGTGTCTGTCACTAAGGCAAGCTAGTGCACGTGCAGCTAGTGTGTTAGAATCTAATCAGGCATTCCATGCAGCCTGTACTTTAAAATTGACTATTACAAACACTGCTGTTACTGTCTCTTAGTCAACAATTGAGCATTCATAAAGTATAGGGTAGGCCAGATATAGTCATTCATGCCTATAATCCCAACTGCTCAGGAGGTAGAGATTGGGAAGATTGCAATTCAAGGCTGGCCCAATCAAAAAGTTAGCAAGATCTCATCTCAACTAATAAACTGAGCATTGTGGAGCATTCCAGTGATTTCAGACATGCAGGAGGTGTAAGAAGCAGGATTACCATACAGTCTGACCCAGGCAAAAACAAGCCCTACCTGAAAAATAACTAAAAAACAGAAAAGAGGGGCTGAATGTATGGTTCAAGTTGTGGAGGGCTTGCCTAGCAAGCAAATACAAAAGACACTGAGTTCCAATTCCGGTACTGCTCAAAAGTTGACTGGCTAAAAGCATTTCAATAAGCACTCCATAAAACCATTACCTGTCTGATTATCATGCCCTAGACTGAATCTCTTAAGAGATCAACTACTCTCTCCAAAACCTCATGACGAAACTGTATTGATACTGACATAAGACCAAATTTTGTCAAGCCATCATCTATTAACAAACATCTATTAACAGGGCCCAGGTTGGGGGGGAGGAGGGCTTCAGTGGGCAAGTATGTATTTAAGCATTCATAAGGCATTAAGAGTCAATCCCCAGTACCACTAAATTAATAAACAAATAAACAAGCAACTGCACATCCAAATCAGCTCTTTTTTTTTTTTTTTGCCGGTCGTGGACCTGAACTCTGGGCCTGGGTGCTGTCCCTCAGCTCTTCAGCTCAAGGCGAGCGCTCTACCGCTTGAGCCACAGCGCCACTTCCGGCTTTTTCTGTTTATGTGGTGCTGAGGAATCGAACCCAGGGCCTCAGGCATGCAAGGCAAGCACTCTGCCACTGAGCCACCTTCCCAGCCCCCAAATCAGCTCTTATACATAGTGTTCAGGCTTGAAAAAGTCTCAACTGAGCTCTTATTCCTACCCACCCCCCTTTGTGTGTGTGTGTGTGTGTGTGTGTGTGTACGCGCACGTGAGCGCGCGCAAGCATGTACGTGCCAGTACTGGGGCTTGAACTCAGGGCCTTGTGCTCATGATTAGCTTTTTCATTCAAGGCTGCCACTCTACCATTTGAGCTACAGCTTACAGCTCCCTTGCAACTTTTTGCTGCTTAGTAGGAGATAAACATCTTATGGATTTGCTTCCCTAGCTGGCTTCAAACATTGACCCTCAGATCTCCTGAGCAGCTAGGATTACAGGTGTGAGCCACAGGCTCCTGGCGATTTACTTTTTAAATGCTTAATTGCAGCCTTAATGTAAAGAAGTTCACCTAGGACTTGAGACAAGCACTGACATTCCAAATGCAGGGGTGGTGGTGGTGGTGGTGGTGGTAGTGGTGGGGAAGGGGGGTTACCACCCTGAAGCTTGCAGATCTGTTTCTCTGTTCCTACATCCTGGGCAGTATTGCAAAACAGATGGATGGATAAGGGAATAAACAAATCAGAAATGAAAAAAATAAACCGAGTAGAAATCAATTCTTCCCTTTGGAGAAGTGACAGACTATCTAAGCTTCTTGCATGCCCATAGGTTTTCAGAGTGCTTGCTTTTTTTTTAAAATACTATTTTAAGCAGAAACTAAATACT